TCTTTTTCTTCCCCCTGGTACTGAATATCTGAAGGGTTTATTCATGCACTGCCATCTTGTCCTCTTGAAAGTAAGTTTCATGAGGGCTAAGGCTGTATGTAGCTCAGCTGATGGAGTGCTTGCCTAGCTGCACAAAGACCTGGGTTCTAGCCCCCACTCCATGTAAACTTGGTAAGATGTTGTAGGCCTATAATCCCAGCCTGGGCCATATAAGACCCAAGAAAAAGGAAAAAGGGGCTGGAGAGAAATGGCTCAGTAGTAAATAGCACTTGCTACTCTTGCAAAAGACCTGGGTTCCATTCCCAGCACCCACAGTGGCTCACAATGGTCTGTAACTCCAGTTCCAGGGGATCCAATGCCCTCTTCTGGCCTTTGTGGGCATTGTGTGCACATATACATATAGGCGAAATAGTCATACATATAAAATTAAATATTTTTGTTTGTTTTTTGAGACAGGGTCTCCCTGTAGCCCCAGCTGGCAAGGAACTCCCTATATAGACCAGACTGGCCTTGAACTCACAGAGATCTGCCTGCCTCTGCCTCCTAAGTGCTGGGATTAAAGGCATGCGCCACCACACCTGACCCTGCATATTTTTTTTTTTTATCATGGAACAGGAATGCTTATTTTCTTTCTAATACCCAGAATAGCACTCGTCATGGGAGGAGCACTAAATGACAACTATGTGTTGGGCTCTACTGTGAAACTAGGTATTGAACAAGATACAATATTTTGTCTTTTTCTACAAGGTTTAAGGATGAATGGACTTAGACATCAAATTCTTCCTTGGGAACAGAGTCCTGCAAACCCACAGACTCTTCCATATTCAGACCAAAGCCAGGCCACCCCTTGCTTTTGTACTCCTCCCCAAGTACAAACGTTTTTCTTCACATTTTTGAAAAATGGGAGGGTGTCCAAAGAATATTTTTGTAGTACCTTAAAAATTAAATTCAAATTTCAGTGTCTAGAAATAATTTTATTGGTCCTGTCAATATTTTTTTTAAAGGCAGGGCCAAGCAGTTGTAAGAGACTACATGCACTGCAAGGCTTAAGATATTTACTCTCTGGCTGGGAGTAGTGACACATGCATTTAATCCCAGCACTTGGGAGGCAGAGGTAAGCGGATCTCTGTGAGTTCAAGGCCTGCTTGGTCTACATCTTGAATTTCAGGCCAGCTGGGGCTACAGGGAGACCCTGTCTCAAAAAAGACCAAAAAAAAAATTTACTGTCTGATTTTTATTTTATTTTTGGTTTTTAGAAACAGCATCCCACTCTAGCCCAGAGTGGTCCTTAACTCTTGATCCTCCTGCCTCCTCCTCTCCAGTGCTGGGATTATATGCATGAGTCGTCTCGCCTAACCTCCTGTCTGGTCTTTTTATAGACATTACAGTCTAGAATCAGGCATGTCCAGTGTTTTGATATTGTGACATTATGTTGTCATCTACAAAGTTCATACTTAAGAATGTCTCTAACCAGTTACCAAAAAAGTCATAATTTAAGTTTGTAATTTTGTGTTGGGCCTCATTCTTAGCTATTTTTGGCCACATGAGGCCTGCAGGCCACAGGTTGGACCCTCTCCAGAGTGAAAGGTTTTTGTAGGATGAGAATTTATTTATTTATTTATTTATTGGTCTTTTTCAGCTCATTAGCAAAAGAACCCATCCTTCCACTTCTGGATTATAACAATTTTTTAATGTGTATGAGTGTTTTGCCTGCATGTATGTAAGTGTGCCATATGTGCAGTGCCTTGCAGAGGCCAGAAACAGGTGCCAGATCCTCTGGAACTGGAGTTACAGACAGTTATTTGCCATGTGGGTGCTGGGAATCAAACTCGGGTCCTCTGGAAGAATAGTAAGTATTCTTTAAACTCTGAGCCGTCTCTCCAGCTCTATGGATTATAATAGTTTTGACCAAAACTCCTTTTCTTCTGAAAATATTCCTAGGTACTCGTCCCTCATCCCCTTCCATTCTCTCCATCCTTTTAATTATCACCCTACTTTCAATGGTTTAGGGACAGGGACAGAAGGGGCACCAGAAGTGGTAGTAACATTGGGGTTTAAGTTAGGAAATCTAGGGGTGTCCAATTAAAAGTTGGTTTGCGTGAGAACCAAAGAAGAAAGTACCTAGCCTACCAGATACTGACCAAAGTCCAGTTTTTGTTTTTAAATTAGAATAGAGAGAGACTCTGGCTATAGTTGTGCCTCTTTAGAAGACAGCTCATCAAGGACAGGAGCCCAGAGCCTTGATGTCCCTAAATTTAATGGTAAGTTCGACCCTGAAAATAGATCAAAGGCCTCAAGATTTTTTTTTTTTATCATGGAACAGGAATGCTTATTTTCTTTCTAATACCCAGAATAGCACTCGTCATGGGAGGAGCACTAAATGACAACTATGTGTTGGGCTCTACTGTGAAACTAGGTATTGAACAAGATACAATATTTTGTCTTTTTCTACAAGGTTTAAGGATGAATGGACTTAGACATCAAATTCTTCCTTGGGAACAGAGTCCTGCAAACCCACAGACTCTTCCATATTCAGACCAAAGCCAGGCCACCCCTTGCTTTTGTACTCCTCCCCAAGTACAAACGTTTTTCTTCACATTTTTGAAAAATGGGAGGGTGTCCAAAGAATATTTTTGTAGTACCTTAAAAATTAAATTCAAATTTCAGTGTCTAGAAATAATTTTATTGGTCCTGTCAATATTTTTTTTAAAGGCAGGGCCAAGCAGTTGTAAGAGACTACATGCACTGCAAGGCTTAAGATATTTACTCTCTGGCTGGGAGTAGTGACACATGCATTTAATCCCAGCACTTGGGAGGCAGAGGTAAGCGGATCTCTGTGAGTTCAAGGCCTGCTTGGTCTACATCTTGAATTTCAGGCCAGCTGGGGCTACAGGGAGACCCTGTCTCAAAAAAGACCAAAAAAAAAATTTACTGTCTGATTTTTATTTTATTTTTGGTTTTTAGAAACAGCATCCCACTCTAGCCCAGAGTGGTCCTTAACTCTTGATCCTCCTGCCTCCTCCTCTCCAGTGCTGGGATTATATGCATGAGTCGTCTCGCCTAACCTCCTGTCTGGTCTTTTTATAGACATTACAGTCTAGAATCAGGCATGTCCAGTGTTTTGATATTGTGACATTATGTTGTCATCTACAAAGTTCATACTTAAGAATGTCTCTAACCAGTTACCAAAAAAGTCATAATTTAAGTTTGTAATTTTGTGTTGGGCCTCATTCTTAGCTATTTTTGGCCACATGAGGCCTGCAGGCCACAGGTTGGACCCTCTCCAGAGTGAAAGGTTTTTGTAGGATGAGAATTTATTTATTTATTTATTTATTGGTCTTTTTCAGCTCATTAGCAAAAGAACCCATCCTTCCACTTCTGGATTATAACAATTTTTTAATGTGTATGAGTGTTTTGCCTGCATGTATGTAAGTGTGCCATATGTGCAGTGCCTTGCAGAGGCCAGAAACAGGTGCCAGATCCTCTGGAACTGGAGTTACAGACAGTTATTTGCCATGTGGGTGCTGGGAATCAAACTCGGGTCCTCTGGAAGAATAGTAAGTATTCTTTAAACTCTGAGCCGTCTCTCCAGCTCTATGGATTATAATAGTTTTGACCAAAACTCCTTTTCTTCTGAAAATATTCCTAGGTACTCGTCCCTCATCCCCTTCCATTCTCTCCATCCTTTTAATTATCACCCTACTTTCAATGGTTTAGGGACAGGGACAGAAGGGGCACCAGAAGTGGTAGTAACATTGGGGTTTAAGTTAGGAAATCTAGGGGTGTCCAACTAAAAGTTGGTTTGCGTGAGAACCAAAGAAGAAAGTACCTAGCCTACCAGATACTGACCAAAGTCCAGTTTTTGTTTTTAAATTAGAATAGAGAGAGACTCTGGCTATAGTTGTGCCTCTTTAGAAGACAGCTCATCAAGGACAGGAGCCCAGAGCCTTGATGTCCCTAAATTTAATGGTAAGTTCGACCCTGAAAATAGATCAAAGGCCTCAAGAGAAACCCAGTCTCCCGCTTGGCTTAGTTCAGGGCCCCTGTTATACCTAAAGTAGGAACTGCAGCTACAGAGAATGTTCTTGTGGGCATTGAACTCGAAGCCATTGACATTGATGACCACATCGCAGAGCTTGCCCTCTAGCCGAAGCTCATTGAAGATCTCACATGTCATTGCACTCATCTTCCTTTCCATGTGAGGCTGGTGGAATCGTGTGGAGGCTACCGTGCTCTCCATCTCCATGGTACCTTGGGACCAGAGGAGAGAGGCTGCTCTCCTGGGGTGCTGGGAAGGATACAGGGTCCCTTTAGCTAGCTGTCACTCCTCTTCCCTACATCTTTCACATAGGGACTATCAGGCAGCCCAAGTTCCAGAATCCCAGGCAGTGAGATCACTTAGGATTATGCTCTCAAGTTCTGGAACTCTGGCCCCAACCCCCTCCTCTTCTTTCCTTCCCTCCCCCAAGAATACCCAGAGAGACCACCCCACATCCCCTGTCTTGTCCTCAGACCCAGGGCAGAATTGTGACCACCAACACCACAATAGAGCCTTTATTGACTCCATTTCCTGTTGCTCTCTCCAGGTTGGGACCACATTCTCTGTAATGTCCAACCTCCATCCACAGCTCCTGGTGGGTCTAACTTCCTTTCATAGCTCCTGGAGGGTCTAACCTCCTTCCACAGCTCCTGGTGGGTTTACTCTCCTTCCACAGCTCCCCCTGGGCTCCCCACAGCTGCAGAGCCAGAAGCAAAGCTGATTAAATTTCATACTGGCCAGGATCTTTTAACCCCTGGGATGTCTTACTGGATCACTCTCTTGGGGTGAGGAGGGGTCCAGCGAAGGAAATACTTCCTGGATGCATCCCCAGCCCCAAATGCAACCGAATACTTGGTGGGTTTTTGTCTTGGTTGTTTGCAATGCTGGGGACGATGCCCAGGGCCTCACACATTCAGGCAAGCACTTTCCCACTGAGCTACGACCTCAACCTTGGGAATAACTGCTCTTTACCAGGGTGCTCCAGAGAGAGTGCCAGGAACCCACCAGCGCTTCATGACAGCGAACACACATGACCCTCCCTCCTCACAACCAAACGTGCTACCTCTTGCTCCTGCCAGCATCCAGAGCCAGTCCGAAAACTGTCAAAAAGCTCAGCTCCGCCCACGCGAGACGACGCCTGCGCAGTGTGGCTGCGGGGCGGTCGCTGTCCTCGGAACCGCCCAGCTGGACGAGGGCGCTATGGCGGAGGAGGTGAGGCCGGGCTTAGGGGGCTCTTCGCGGTGCTGGGATCGCGGTGCTGGGAGGCCCCGCTCCCCTGGGACCCGGCGGGGCGACCGGATCAGCGGTTTTCTCCGGTCTCACGACAGGTGAGCAGCCTGATGAAGGCCACGGTCCTGATGCGGCAGCCAGGACGGGTGCAGGAAATCGTGGGCGCGCTCCGCAGAGGCGGGGGAGACCGGCTACAGGTACAGGGAGGGGCCGGGCAGAGGGAGGACAGCTGCCCCTCAGCCTTCCCGTCCCTGCTGCGCCCTGGGATGGCCGTGTCCAAACTGATTGGTTCACCTTGGGTGAAAAAGCCTGCAGGCTGCAGCAGCCAGATTTGAAAGTTTCTCCATATGGTCATGTCGCTGGCTCTCAGAAAGCACGTGGGAGGAGTCCCTCCAGCACACACACTACCCTAGGCCAGAGGGCTTCTCAATAAGTTGAAGATGGGAGACCCATAAAGTCTAGTAGAAGAACCCAGTGCCTCGGAAGGATGCCACCAAAAGTGACCCACACACTTGGATGCTGTGCTTTCCTTGTGGTGAACACTTGCACTAACAGAGTTACCTCTTTCCTGCCCCTCTGTCTTTCCCCTCCCCAGGTTTTGCCACAGGCCAAGCAATGGGCTGGTTAGACCCCATAATCACCCCAGGCTGAGGCAGGGCCAGGTTAGGTGTCCATTCAGGTCCTGCATGTGTCTCCTTTTGTCCCTTAGGTGATTTCCGATTTTGACATGACCTTGAGCAGGTTTGCTTACAATGGACAGCGCTGCCCTTCTTCCTACAGTAAGATACTCTAGTCGCCTTTGCTGGGCTCAGGATGTCAGCTTCTACAGAGAAAGTAAAAGGAGTTTTGTATTTTCTCAGATATCCTGGATAACAGCAAGATCATCAGTGAGGATTGCCGCAAAGAGGTGGGTCATTTAATGCCCATCTTTGCTCAGAAATGGCTATGGTATGCATCTGGGCTGCAACCAAAGACTGTAGCCTAGGGCTCTTAAGAATGTTCATAACCTAGGTGGAGGCGTGGTGGTGCATGCCTTTAATCCCAGCACTCAGGACGCAGAGGCAAGCGGATCTCTGTGAGTTCAAGGCCAGCCTGGTCTACATAGTGAGTTCCAGAACAGCTGGGGCTACAGGGAGACCTTGTCTCAAAAAGACCAAAAAAAAAAGAATGTTCATAACTTAAACCCAAGGTGGAGGTGTGTAATCTCAGCTATTTGGAAGGCAGATGGAGGAGGATCACAAGTTCAAGGTCTACCTAGGCTCCAGAGGGAGTTCAGTGTGAACCTGGGCAACTTGGTAAGATTGTATTTCAAAATAAAGTAAATAAAGGAAGAATAGGGGTGCAGCTTGCCTGACGTACGCACACAAGGCCTTGGATTTTATTCCAATTAAGAATAAATATTATTTCTTTTTAACTTGTTATGGACAGGTGAATCTTAGTCTTTTTTAAAAATTTTTTTGTGTATGAGTGTATTGCCTGCATGTAGGTGGGTGTTCCGGTGTCACGCAGTGCCCACAGAGGTCAGAAGAAGGCGTCAAATTCCCCTGGAACTGGAGTTAGGGATGGTTGTTAGGTACCATGTGAGTGCTGGGACTCGAACCAGGTCTTCTGCAAGAACAGTCTGTTCTTAACCACTGAGCCATCTCTCCAGACCCCAAGTGACTCTAGTCTCTTTTTTTTTTTAACTTAAAAACATTTTTTTATTAATTATTTTTATTTTAAGTGTATGCATGTATTGCCTGCATGTAGGTAAGTGTACCTGTGTCGTGAAATGCCTGCAGAGGTCAGAAAAGGCTGTCAGATCCCCTGGGACTGGAGTTATGACAGTTGTTAGCTGCCATGTGGGTGCTGGTACTTGAACCCAGGTCTTCTGCAAGAACAGTCAGTGTTCTTAACTGCTAAACCATCTCTCCAGCCCCCGGGTGAATCTTGTCTTAATACAGGAGAACTTTTTCCTGTTGGCTGAGACATGATGATCAGTAGTTGGATATGAACATTATACTTACCTGCTAGCTATGAAATTTCAAGAGACTTGAACATCATATATTATGGAACAGCCGTAGACTCCACAAGGCAGCTGGAACTATTATATTACTGTCTCCACTTAACAGATGAGAAAAACGGATGTGTAGAGAGGTTGAGCAACCTGTTTCAGGGTCATACTGGTGAATCAGAGATCTTGGCTTTGTATAGCTTCTGTCCCAAACTCTTCCCATCGTGTTGTGTTATGTCCTTGATCATATAATTGTCTTGTAAGGCAGCAGATATGGAGAGCGTTCTGAATTAACATTAATCCATTTCTGTAAGGTTTGTGCAAGTTCTGTGACACCATCTCTGGAGCCTGGTCATTGGCTTGCTTGGTTCCAGGCTCTTGTCCTCAGTCCCTTTACTAAAGCCACACAGTGTGGCTAGACTTTTATATATCCCTGATCTCATTCCTATGAATAACTGTGTCATCTAATTCTCTTTATTATTTACTAATGTTGCATACTATGTGGTCTATTGGTCTCTTATGTTGGTTAACCCTTCCAGTGTTCTGAAGGTTTTGCGATTTTTTGTTTCATACTCTCATAAAGTCCAAGCTGGCCTAGAACTTGCTATGTAACTGAGGCTAGCCTGGAACTCCTGGTCCTCCTGCCTCTAGCTCCCAAGTGCTAGCTTTACAGGCATGTACCATCATGTCCAGCCTCATTCTCTTTTTTTTTTTTAATTTTTTGTCTTTTTGAGACAGGGTCTCCCTGTAGCCCCAGCTTTCCTGGAACTCACTCTGTAGACCAGGCTGGCCTTGAACTCACAGAGATCCGCCTGCCTCTGCCTAAGTGCTGGGATTAAAAGCAGGCGCCACCACGCCCGGACCTCACTCTCTTTTTTAAAAAATATTTTATTATTTTTATTTTATGGGTATGAGTGTTTTGCCTGCATGTATGTAAGTGCACCCATGTCATTCAATGTCCTCAGAGGTTGGAAGAGGGTATCAGGTGTCAGATTCCCCTGGAACTAGAGTTACAGATGGCTGTTAGCTGTCATGTGGGTGCTGGGAACCGAACCTTGGTCTTCTGCAAGAATACCCAGCCAGTGCTCTTAACTGTCGAGCTATCTCTCCAGCCCCCAGAATGAACTTTTACGTGAAGCTGCTTCCCCAGTGGTTTTGCTCTTAGCTGTGGGACTTTGCTGGGGAGAATGTGATGTGCACTAATGACTTTCCCCCGTGTGGCTGTCCCAGCTCGCAGCACTTTTTCACCACTACTATCCCATTGAGATCGACCCACACCGGACCATCAAAGAGAAGTTGCCTCATATGGTGCAATGGTAAGTGGCGTTGGCAAGGAAGGGCTCCTGCAGTTGAATGCCAGGATGGGCGTCCTTTTCCAGAGCTTCAGTGAGGCTCCTTTTTGAGGGCTTGCATGGCCATGCCACTTGCCCAGCTGTGAGAACAAATATCCATTTGTACCTGGGCCTACCTTAGAGAATCCTAGAATAAGTTAGAAATCCCTTGGTTTGGGGAGATAGGTGGCAAAGTGACCCTCGTTTTGGTCCATTTTGTGTTGCTATAACAAATACTACAGACTGGATAAGGTATAATGAATAGACATTTATTGGCTCATAGTTCAGGAGCTTGGAAAGTCCTAGACAAGGGATTAGCATCTGTTGAGGACTTTCTTACCGTGTCACCCTATGGCAGGAGGTCCAAAGGAGGGTAAAAGGGGGCTGAACTTCACCTTTGATAAGGAACCTAGTGATAATTGCACTAATCCATTCATGAGGGCAGAGCCCCTGTGACCCAACACCTGCCATTAAGCCCAACACCTGCATTGGAAAATCAAGTTTATAACTTGGGGAACACATTCAAGTTGCATTAATCCTCGAGTGGAAACATATCACTAACTCTGGGCATGGTGGTACATGCCTGTAATCCCAGTATGTGGGAGGTGGAGGCAGAAAGATCAGTAGTTCAGGGTTATTCCCAGCTACATAGCAAGTGGTAGGCCAGCCTGGGCTACATGAGCTCCGTCTCAACAAAACAACCGCAAAACCCAGTATTATAGGACAGAGCCCCAAGTACCCCATGGGGAGAGTTTCAGAAGAGTTTTGCCTCCCCAGTCAGCTGCTCTTTTCCCCATCTTTATTTGCTTTTTTACTGTCTAATGATGGCCTTCAGGAAATGGCTCTGTGAAACAGGATGTTTGTCATCCTAGTCTCTCCCCCCAAACCCTTAGAGGATGCTGCCAGAGGGGACAAGGGAAAGGACATTTGACTTCCTGGGGTGATTGGAACTTGGGGTTCGTGGGGTGTTTGTTCCCAGGTGGACCAAAGCACACAACTTGCTGTGTCAGCAGAGCATTCAGAAGTTCCAGATAGCACAGGTGGTGGGAGAGTCCACTGCGATGCTCAGGTGAGCCCTGCTCTGGAAACACTACAACCACACTCGTCCACATTGCCTTCCTTGCTGGCTGGGAAGTAGCTCCCAGGTTGAGCACTCACCTGGCATGCTGGAGGCTCCTGGATTCCATTCTCAGCACTGAAAAAAACACAAATAAAAATTAAAGCCAGACAGGGCCTGGAGAGATGGCTAAGTGGTTAAGAACACTGACTGTTCTTGCAGAAGACCTGGGTTCGAATCCCAGCACCCACATGGCAGCTAACAGCTGCCCGTAACTCCAGTTCCAGGGGATCCCCCAGCCTCTTCTGTCCTCCAAGGGCATTGCACGACACAGGTGCACTTACCTACGTGCAGGCAATACGCACATACACATAAAAATAATAAATATAGCTGGGCGTGGTGGCGCATGCCTTTAATCCAAGCACTCGGGAGGCAGAGGCAGGCGGATCTCTGTGAGTTTGAGGCCAGCCTGGTCTCCATAGCGAATCCAGGCCAGCTGTGGCTACATGGAGACCCTGTCTCAAAAAGACCAAAAAAATAAACAAATAAAATAATTTTAAAAAAAAATTAAAGCCAGTCTAAAACTGTTGTGGCCAGGCAGAGGAAGCTATGGAGGATAGAACAGAGTTAGTGTCTAGGAGAGTTGGCCCCAGGACCCTGCTGCTGGGTCGATGCCATGCAAAATGCCCAGAATTTCATCTCTCAGAATCTGTCTTTATTAAACAGTAGTAAAGACTTTGGGAGCCGGGCATGGTGGCATAGGCCTTTAGTCCCTGGGCTGGCTAACTAACCACCCTAGCCTAATCCATGAGCCCCAGGTCCCAGCGAGGGACCCTGTTTCAAAAAACAAAGTGCAGGTCAATGAAATGGCTCAGCAGGTAAAATGCATGTCATGTAAGCCTGACCACTTTAATTCAAACCCTAGAACCTATGTAAGGGTGGGAAGAGGGAACCGACTCCACATAGTTGTCCTTTGAACTCCACATGTATGCCATGGTACATCCATGCCCATACACACACATCATATACACATATACATACACACATAATAAAATTTTAAAAATAAAAAATAAGGAGAATGGCTCCTGAGGAATGATACCCAAGGTTGATTTCTGACCTCCATACTTAGGTTACACATGCACAAGTACACCCACACACACGTGCATCCACACGAATGTGTATATATACACACCTGCGCATACACTCACAGAAATAAAATGTAAAATACATAGCCCAAGTAGAAAATAAAAAGTAGTAGCAAGCTTGGCGTGGTAGCACATGCCTTTAATCCCAGCACTCAGGAGGCAGAGGCAGGTGGATCTCTGTGAGTTCAAGGCCAGCCTGGTCTACATAGTAAGTTCCAGCCAGCTGGGGCTACAGGGAGACCCTGACTGTCTCAAAAGGACACAAAGAAAAAGCAGCGATGGCTTGGCCACTTCAGGGCTCTCCTGTTTTGGCAGGGAGGGGTATAAGACATTCTTCGACACGCTCTACCACAACAACATTCCTCTCTTCATCTTTTCTGCTGGAATCGGTGATATCCTAGAAGAAATCATCCGGCAGATGAAGGTGTTCCACCCGAACATCCACATCGTGTCTAACTACATGGACTTCAGTGAGGACGTGAGCCAAGTCTTGGCTGGCCTCAGAGCCAGGAGGGCGGGTGGAGCCTGGGGCTTTACCTCTTGGCATGCTGGCTTTTTTGCCCTCTGATGGGCATTTCTAAGCCTCTTCATTCCCCTGTCTACTTCCCTCTTCTTTCCTTCTTTCTTTGCTACATTACCCAGGCTGACCTTGAGTTTTTGGGCTCAGTCTGTTCTCCCACCTCAGTCTCTTGAATAGCTGGGACTGTAGGTGTAGGTCATGGCGTTTGACTTTATGGGGTTACTTTCCTGTTTGTTTATTTGTTTTCTTTTGAGACAAGGTCTCCCTGTAGCTCCAGCTGGCCTAGAACTCTATATAGACCAGGCGGGCCTGAATCTCAGAGAGGTCTGCCTGCGTCTGCCTCCCAAGTGCTGGGACTAAAGGCGTGGGCTACACATCCAGCTTTGTCTTTTGTTTGAGACACCATCTCACTGTATTGCTCTGGCTGGCCTGCAGCTTGGTTTGTAGACCAGGCTGGCTTCGATCTCACAGAGATCTGCTTACCCCTGCCCCCTGAGTGCTGGAATTAAAACTACACCACTGCACCCGGCATGGGTTACTTTCAAAGGATCTTCTCTTTAGTATCTAATGAGCAGTCAGCTGTCTGTCATGGGGTTCTAGCTTTTGGGTCAGCACCGCCCTGTGTCACCATTATGAGTACCAAAAGGCTTACACTTTGACTTGTGTATCTGAAGTCACAAGCAGCCTACTTACTATGTTTTCATGTCTAACTAACCGGGGCACAGATGTGTGTGTGTGTGTGTGTGTGTGTGTGTGTGTGTGTGTGTGTGTGTGTCTGTCTGTCTGTCTGTCTGTCTGTCTGTCTGTGTGGTACATGCCTGTAATCCTAGCACCTGTGAGATGGAGACAGGAGGATGAGGGATTGAAAGCCAGCCTTAGATACATAGTGAGTTCAATCAGGCTCACTGAGCTGCAATGAGACCTTGTCTCAAACAAGTAAATGATGGGATTTTGTCACTTTGACCTGTTTTTCATGGCCTATAGTTGAAACATGGTTAGCATTTTTTCTTCAAGTGCTGGGGATCTAACCCAGGCCTTGGGCTTGGTAGGCAGACCAGTGAGCTGTACCTCCAGCCTGACTGAACAGCTTTTACAGCACAAGCTTTGTGCTTCTGCCAGAATTGTTAATCAGTAACATTTGATGGTCATCATTAGTTTAAAGCAGGAATTAGGAACTTGTCCTAGAAAAAGCCAAGTAAGCTGGGCCTGGTGGCACAGGCCTATTGTTCCAGCTACATGGGAGTTAACTAAGATTAGGAGGAGCAAAAGTTCAAGGCATACCCGCCTGTCCTGAGCTGAAGAATGAATTCAAGGACAGCCTAGAAAACTTAGGCAGACCCTGTCTCAAAAATGAAAAAAGCTGGGTGTGGTGGCGCACGCCTTTAATCCCAGCACTAGGGAGGCAGAGGCAGGGGGGGCTCTTTGGGTTCAGGGCCACCCGGGTCTACATAGTGGGGGTCCCGACAAGCGGGGGGTCACGGGGAACCCCGCCCACAAAAACAACAAAAAAAAAAAAAAAAAAAAAGGGGGGGGGGTATAGCTCAGTGGTAGAGTGCTTGCAGGTTGCATGATTAAGACCCTGGGTTCAAGCCCAGTAAATAAATAAAATAAGAGGCCAGGTCTAAATATTTAGGCTTCTATGGCCTACACTCCATTGTGCCTCCTCTCAACTTTGCCATAAGGCAAGATGTAAACAGATGAGTCTGGATGAGTTCTAGGAAAACATTTATAAAAACTGGCCAGATCTGGGCCTGGACCCTCGTTTTCCAGTCCCTAGTTTAGGCTAGAGCAAAGTCTTGCTGTTATCTCTGGTTTTAGGGACTCCCTTTTCCACATGACAGTAGAAAGTGTGCTGCATGGGTCTCTCTAGCCTTGCTGTCTGTCTGTCCTGGTGGCTTAGGGTTTCCTACAAGGATTCAAGGGCCAGCTCATCCACACCTACAATAAGAACAGCTCCGTGTGTGAGAACTCCAGTTACTTCCAGCAGCTTCAGGGGAGAGCCAACATCCTCCTGCTCGGAGACTCCATGGGGGACCTCACTATGGCCGACGGGGTTCCTGGAGTACAGAACATTCTCAAGATTGGCTTCCTAAATGACAAGGTGGGTAGGGGTTGGACCTTCCCCTCTGGCTTTCTCCATGAATTCCTATCAACAAATGTCCTTGAACACCTTTTGTGTGCCAGACTTGTGGAAAGTGTTAGAACTACAGAGGTGAAGCTTAAGTCCTATTCTCATTCTCTCTTTGTTTTTTGAAAGAGTTTCATGTAGCCCAAGCTAGCCTTAAACTATGTAGACAAGGCTGGCCTTCAACTCCTTTCCTCTTGCCCCAAACCCCCAGATGCTAAGATTATACCCATTATGGTCATGTCCTACCTAGCCTGGGTTTATATTCTTTTGTTTTGTTTTCTGATTTATTAATTTTTTCTGTGTATGAGTATTATGCCTGCATGTGTGTAAGTGCACCTGTGTTGTGACGTTCCTGCTGAGGACAGAAGAGGGCATTGGATCCTCTAGAACTGGAGTTACAGATGGTTGTTAGCTGCCATATAGGTGCTATGATCTGAACCCTGGTCCTCTGCAAGAAGAACCTATGTTCTTAATGCTGAACCGTTTCTCCAGCCCCATTTTGTTTTGTTTTTTTTAAGACAGGGTCTCCCCTGTAGTCCCAACTGGCCTGGAATTCGCCATGTAGACCAGGCTGGCCTCCATCTCACACAGACCTGCCTGCCTCTGCCTCTATAGTGCCAGGATTAAAAGTGCACTACCACACCCAGTCCATTTATATTTTTACGCGTGTGTGTGTGTGTGTGTGTGTGTGTGTGTGTGTGTTGCTGGAGGTGGAACCTAGAGCCTAATAGATGCTAGGCAATTGCTCTATCACTGAGCTACATCCCCATCCCTAGTGATGACTACTGTGTGCTTCCCTACATGTCCTGACACAGGACTTGAGAGAAGAGGGTCATGCCAGTGCATCATCCTAGCTTACACGTATGATGTGTGTTCACCATGTGTCAGGTCCCGTCCTAGGCACACAATTGCTAGCCCATTTAAGCCTTATAATATAGCCCTTTCAGTTTTGTTTTTGTTTTTGGAGGGTATCATGTAGCCCAGATGGGCCTTGAACTCCCTGTATAGCTGAGAATAACCTTGAACTCCTCTTCATTCTCCTGCCTCCACCTCCCAAGCTCTGGGATTACAGGCATGTGATACCATGTTCTGCTCTAGTAGTGACTTAGCCCCATTTCACAGATCAGGAAACCAATGCCAGGAGGTTGAATAATTTACCCAAAGTGATGTAGTGTAGGAAACAGCAGGGCTGATTGCTAGTCCTGACTCATACCTTGAAGTCTTGACTGAAATGGGAGATGCCAGTGTTCAGGACATGTGTATGAGTATTATGCCTGCATGTGTGTAAGTGCACCCATGTCGTACAGTTCCTACAAAGGACAGAAGAGGGTGCGTCGGATCCTCTGGAACTGGAGTTACAGATGGTTGTTAGCTGCCATGTAGGTGAGTCCTCTGCAAGAAGAGGACGTATTAGGAAACAAAAACAGCAGAAACTGTCTGGGATGGGAACAGCATAGGTCAAAAGGGTCCAAAGAAGGGGTCAGGCTGGGCAGATCTGGCCAGCAGGAGTTGGCATCTTCTAGATCCTAGAGACATATGAAGACTGAGCCCAGACAGGTCACAGGTGACATCTGGGATTTCGTTCTTAATCTTTGTTACTGTCTTTTTGACAGTGGCCAAGGGTTGGTTGTGGCAGCCTGTGTCCCTCATCTGCCTGCATACATATAAGGGCTGGGCCCTGTATGCAGCCTTGAACTCTTCAGGCTTATGCTGGGGAGTGGTACTTTTGTTTTTTCCCTCAGCCCCCAGATGCTTGCGAGTGAGAGACCTAGGGTGCGGCATTTGGGGAATGTTGGTCTCCTTCTCTGGACAGGTGGAGGAGCGGCGGGAGCGCTACATGGATTCCTATGACATTGTGCTGGAGAAGGACGAGACACTGGACGTGGTCAACGGGCTGCTGCAGCACATCCTGTGCCAGGGGGACTGCATGGAGATACAGGGCTCCTGAGGATACAGGCATGGGCAGGCTGTGACAGGAGGAAGCCTGCCCACCAAGCCTCTCGGTTATAAGCACAGAAGTTCAGGGCAGCCTAGACCTGTTGGGCCCTTTTTACCCCTGTCTCGTTTTCCTAATGCCTTGACTTCTTCCGGTTCAAAGGCTTGAGGGAGGCCCTGCTTGTGGGAGGGCAGCAAGCGTGGTTCCAAGTGAACCGTGGTCCACAGCATGTTAGTATTCTACAGATCATCTAGTCTATGGATTCTTTCTAAGAAAGTTTTCAGAGCTGGGGATACAGAGCTCAGTGGTGAAGCATCTGCCTAGCACATGGGGGGAGGGGCATTAAAACAAATAAAGTCAAATGGGAAGTTGTTCATCAGACAGATGCAATGTGTGAATCTGATGAAAATTAAGTTAGCTGCTCTGATTGGGGGGTGGGGCAACTTGAGCTCTTGAGGCACAGGAAACTCTGTGCTCTGGGGCTCCACCAAACAGTTTGAGAGCCTTTTGAGAACATAGAACCCATGTGGTGCAGCTGGAGTGTCTGCTGTTTAGGGAGGGTGGGAGTGTGATCCTGCCTTGAATGGGTGCAGCTCTCAAACTTGAAATTCAGTTGGATTGAGGGGCTCCTGTCAGAGACACCTTTTTTTTTTGTTGTTTGTTTTTTGGTCTTTTTGAGACAGGGTATCCCTGTAGCCCCAGCTGTCCTGGAACTCACTATGTAGACCACGCTGGCCTTGAACTCACAGAGATCTGCCTGCCTCTGCCTTCCGAGTGCTGAGATTAAAGACGTGTGCCACCACACCTGGCTTAGAGATACCTTTTTTAAAAAATATTTTATTATTTTTATCTTATGTGTATGAGTGTATTGCCTGCATATATGTGAGTGCACCCGTGTCATGCAATGCTGTGGAGGTCAGAAGAGGGTTTCGGATTCCCCTGGAACTGCAGTTAAGGATGGTTCATAGACACCGTGTGGGTGCTGGGAACTGAACCCTGGTTCTTGCAAGAGCAGTCAGTGCTCTTAACCGCTGAGCCATCTCTCTGCCCCCTACACCTTTTTTAACCCAGAAAAATTCCATGTGAGTGTGGGTTTTCATTTATGTCCTTGGCTCTTTCCTCCTCTGTTTTTTGATCCAGTGCGACCAACACAGATTTCTTGAAAGGAACTTGAGGCCTGGGCCCCCAGGGAAATTGTGGAGCCATTATGTGCAGCTTCTGGCCCTCTCTTCCCTGATGACTTGAGGGTTTAAGAACTAACTGAATTCCAGGAGCTGGAGAGATGGCTCAGTGGTTGAGAGCACTGGCTAGTTTGATTCCCAGCACCCACATGGTAGTTAACAACTGTCCGTAACTCCAGTTCCGGTGGAAATCCAACACTTTCTTCTGACGGTGGGCATTTTATGACACGGGTGCTCTTACATACATGCAATACACTCATACACACAAAATAAAAGAACTGACTTGTCTCTGAGGTACCTTCCAAAGAAAAACAGAAGTGCCAGTTCACCTGGAGTTCCCCTCATTTTCCCTTTTTGAGAGTCGTACACACCCTCCTATCCAGGCCCCTGGCTGTCGGAAGTGATGTTTACCTGCAGATCTGAAGGGAAGGGGAATCCAGTGTTAATGAAAGCCCATGTGCAGATGCCATTCTGGGCACTTAGATACCCACCATTTCATTCTTACAGTGATCTCCAAGTAGGTAGAGTCCCTGTCATTTGCAAATTGCTCAGATGGGACGAATAACTTGCCCAAACAGCATAACTAGGAACCAGGCCCAGTTTGGCTACTTCTAGCCAAAGCCTGTGTCTGTTCTCAATCTGGCTTTTTCTCAGCTTCATTGCAGGGCCATCCTAGGTTTTGGGAGGTCAGGAGGAAGATAACAACTGGTCCAGATTTACAAGCAGACCTCAGGAGCTTTCTGGAGGCTTTGGTGCCAGGGAGTGTCAGTCACTGACCTTAGGCAACAATCATGTCTCAAGGTCCTGGGGTGTGTTAGGAAGTTTTCCATTACTGAGGTATTGAACCTAAAAGAGAAAAAAGATTTAATTTTGGCTCACAGTTTAGAGGTCTGGGGCCATGACCAATGGCCCCATTGCTTTGAGCCTGTGGTAATGGTGACAGAGTACATCAGGTGGGAACACATGGTAGAGGAGGCTCACTTAAATCTTATGGTGCCCAGGTACAAAAGAGGGAGGCCAGGGTTCCACATGATACCCTTCAAAGCATACCCCAATGACCTCAAATCTCCCACTAGGCTCAGCATTCTAAAGCCTCCATGAATTTCTAATGGTGTCGTGGACCAAGCCTTAGGGGGACATTCCAGAACCAGTCTGTAACACTGCACAAGAAGCTGATGCTTAGGGAAAGTTTGGAATGTGAATCTGGCCGTTGTTTTCTCTAAAGTCCACCCCGTCCTCGGAAGGCACAGGGCATCTCCATCACAGTGGGCTGAGCCAGGCAGGCAAGTGAGAGCAGCCAGCTTGCCTGGTGGCTGAAGCAGCTCTCCAGGACTGGAGAGTTCCCTTTGCTCTAACCAGAGGGAGAAGGGTGTGCAGGTGAAGGGGAAGCTGGGAATCAGCAGAACTGAGAACCAGCCATGTGAACAAGTGCCATCTGGCCTGCGTGGCCGTCCCGTGGCTCAGTTTGGTTCTTGAGCTCTGCTGGTTGGTTGAGGTCAGGGATTTTTGTCTTGTGCCTTCCAGGAGGGACAAGGCTCCTCTCCATGCTCTCCTGCAGGCCCCTCCGCTGTGGATATGTACCCTCAGCAGCCCAAGGCTCTTTCTACCCAGAGGCTTCTGGTTAGACCCAAGGAAGGAGGGAGCAGGAGGCTCTCCATCTGGCATCTTGATCCCAGAGGCCATGGCAACAGCCTGATTTGTCTCCTTTCTGTCCCAATCCTTGGGTTTTTAAAGCCCTCTCCTAGGCTGGGGAGATGGCCCAATCAGTGAAATAAAGGCCTGCGATGCAGACATGAGGACCTGAGTTTTAACCTCAGAATCCATTTAAAAAGTAAGGTATGACACATGCCTATAATCCTAGCTCAAGGGAGGTCCTGGGGTTTGTTAACCAGCCAATCTAATCTATGATAGTCAATGTGAGACCGTCTCAAAAAATAAGGTAGAGGGGCTGGAGAGATGGCTCAGCTCTTACAGAAGACCTGGGCTCAAATCCCGGCACTCACATGGTGGCTACTAACTGTCCTAACTCCAGTTCCAGGGGATCTGACACCCTATTCTTTCCTCCATGGCACTGCATAACACAGGTGCCCTTACATACATGCAGGCAGTATACTCAAAAATAAAGCAGCTGGACGTGGTGGTGCACGCCTTTAATCCCAGCACTCAGGAGGCAGAGGCAGACGGACTGGGGCTACAGGGAGACCCTGTCTCAAAAAAATAAATAAATAAATAAATAAATAAATAAAATATTAAAATAAGGAGGAGGGATTGCAAAGACACCTGACCTCAACCTCTGGCTTACACACACATGAACACATACTCATGTAATAAGTAAATGAAAGACCACTTCTTGAGGCTTTAGGTTTAATCTTTCACAAAAGGAGAAAGGATTGGGTATCAGTTTAGTCTTTGTCCAGAACTCTGCCTACCTCCCTCCCACCCACATTAGCACCAAATGCTGGTTTTCACAGATCTGAAACCCATCTTGGCAAGCTTCCTCACAAATAGCCTTTCCTTGAAGAGAAAGAGCCATTTTTAAGGATGAAAGTCTACACAGAGCCCAGCCCTGATCTGGGAGGCTGAAAGGCAGGCTAGGGTGAGGACCACCTGGCTGCAGTTGCACACATCCAGCAGGGTATGTGCTCCTGGAACTGCCCCTTTCTGAGGAGCCAGGCAGAGCTGAGACAGGAGGACAGGGTCCCCTTGCTCAGATTCATGCCCCTGGAGCTGCCATGATGGGGAATGGAGACAGGGATGGGGTGGGGAGACGGGATAGGACAGTACAAATAAAGGGCGCAAGCCAGGCATGGTGGCACGCCTTTAATCTCAGCACTGGGGAGGCAGAGGCAGGAGGACCTCTGTGAGTTTGAGGCCAGCCTGGTCTACATAGTTCCACATCAGCTGGAGCCACAGGGAGACCCTGTTCCAAAAAGACCAAAACAAAACAAAAAAACAAAGGGCACATTTGGGGAAATGAAGGACAGAGAAGCTGAGGCTTGCTAAGAGTCTAGGGATCCGATGGGAGGCCTAAGTGTGGAGTCAGGAATGGTCCTAAGCAGCCTTCAGTACTCTGCCCCCAAAATGGCTTTTTACCCCAAATACTTTAAGGAAGAGATCTGGGGTTGGAAGAGGAAAATTGGCATAGAGGTCAGTGCTGTGGACTGGAAGCCACACAGCTGGTGGGAAAACCACAACAGTCTCCTGTGACCGTGGCTCCCAGAGTTACCCCACTGAGGGATGAGGGAGCGGGGCTGGCAGGCCAGTCCTATCACCACTGACCCCCAGCAGAGGGCCTTTGTGTCTGAGGCTAGGCTGGGCCCCTTGGCCTCAGAGCTCCTCATGGACCCGCTCCTGATCCTCATCTGACTTCAGCTTCAGTTCCTCAGCTGTGATCTTGCCGTCCTGGTTTCGGTCCTGATTTTGGAACATGTCTCTTATGGTTTTGTCAGGGTGCTGCCCAGGCATGAGGCGTCCTTTGCCCTCATTCACTTGAGTCTTGATGAAGGAGGAGAACTGGGGGAGGGAAGAGCAGAGGATAATGGGGTGAGGCTGACCAGCTGTGGGTGGCCTTGGAAAGGGCCCCCCAGGTAGAGGCCAGGTAGTAAGCCTGCCTGTGCCTTCCCACCTCAGTAAGGCCTGGCAGAGTGGCGGGGGGCAACATAGGAAAGGTTGGTAAAGTGGAGGGTATGACTTGGAGGCAGATGGGGTCATGACAGCCAGATAGGACAGGTTGCACAGTATGCAGGAAGAGATGGCCTGAGCTCAGCACAGGGGCAGCAGGATAGGTGACCAAAGGGTGGGTGTGCACGCTGGCTTCCTGGTTGGGGTGTGACTAAGCTCCTGACCCACCTCCTCCAGGGGCACTTCTCCATCTTTGTTGAGATCCATGTCTTCAAACAGATTGGCAGAAGGGTTTTGGTGCCACACAAACAGGTAGCCTTCGGGCAGGCCATCCTCCCGGGACACCAGCTCCACCTCAAAACGCAGCACAGCACTTCCAGGGACACCTCGGGCTGGAGGGAGGAAGGGAAGAAGGGAGGGCGAAGGGGAGAACAGGGTTCCAGTGGGGTCTGCAGCTGAGTCTTAGCACAGGCCTCGGTTTCCCTTTCTAGGGAAAGGGGCATGGGATGTTTACAGAACTATCCTGAAAGCTTTCCTGACCCTGCCCACCAGCCACCAAGGCCTGAGACCGGTAGGGGCAAAGTTGTGGGAACGCCTGTGGGGTCCGGGTCATTGTCCCTCACCTCCACTCTCCCCGTGGGCCAGGTGTGGGGGTACAATGAGCTGCCGCCTCTCTCCCACGCACATGCCCTGCAGGCCCCTGTCCAAGCCTTCGATCACTTTGTTGGCCCCCAGGGTGGCCTCTTGGGGGGCCCCATAGTCGTGGCTGAGGGGGAGAACAGATTCCCTGGTCAGTATCAGTCCTCACCCAAGCATGCAGTTTCCCACCAGGAGCCCCAGTTCAAGTCACTCCTGGTGCACATGCACCAGCAGAGCGTAGAGGCCCAAAGGGCGCAGACTTGGGATGCCTGAGGGTCAGTTTCCCCATCATAAAGGGATGGTACTCTCCCCTCCTTCAGTTTCAACACCCCTCTACACACCCTACCCCACCCCATCCCACTTCTCCTGCCATCCATGCTTATGGCTCCCTACGGCTCACTGAGTTGGATACTTGTGGAGGAAGTGAGAGATTGTGGGACCCAGAGAGAGGAAAGCATGTAAGCAAGCTTTTAGAAGTCTGCCCACCTTCCCAGTCCTGGCCCTGCCCAGCCCTGGCCCTGCCTTGGAACCTACGAAGAAAAGAGCCTGGTGCCATCCAACAGAGAGCAGTTGTAGTGGTAGCGAATGAAGTCTCCGAGCTTAGAGGTCTCATTGCAGGTCTCAGGTGGCCGGAACAGCGTCTTGATTTCTACAGGGTCCTCAGGGTTGTGGAAGTCGATGACAAGCACGTCGAAGATGAGCACGGCTGAGCCAGGGATCTTATCTCCTGAGAACAGATGGGGGTGTGGATCAGCTCGGGGCTCTGGGTAGAGGATGCTGGCTGTTTCCATGGGGCTCAGACTGACCCCCTCTCCCTCCCCCCAGGGGTCATATCAGATGGCATGTGCCAGAGGGCTTCCTACATCCTGCTGTTGGGGTGATGGGGCAGGGAGGCAGGAAACCTTTTCTACCCATCATCTTTTAAGTTCCCAGAGCACCACAGGCCTTTTTGTTCTACGGGATTCTGCTGGGTCTATTCCTCCTTAACTACTCCATGTCTACTAAGAGAGGGGGAATGGGGCCTGCCCTGGTGGAATGGAGTGGTCTACTTGTGAGAATCTGATGGATGACTAAGTATAAACGGAATGAATGTTTGAATAACGAAAGGGGCATCAGAGGCTGAATCCCAGGAGCACAGTTCAGAGGAGTTGAACAGATGGCCTGAGAACCAACCTTACCAGTTCCGTTCTCCCCATAGGCAAGGTGCGGGGGCACGGTGATCCTCCGGCGCTCCCCTATGCACGCACCCTGCAGCCCCTGGTCCATCCCGGGGATGATGTAACCCTGCCCGACATAGGTATTGTAGGTGTGGTTGCGGGAGTAGCTGCAATACAGGGAGAGGGATGGGGAGGGAGTCAAAGGGGCCCCACCTCTTCCAGGCAGCTCAAAGTTGTCCCTGGTCCCCATCTTCCTGTCTCAAGACATCCCCTGACCTGGAATCAAAGAGGGTGCCATCCATCAAGGACCCATTGTAGTGGTAACGCATGAAGTCCCCAGCCACCGCTCGCCGGTCACAGTCCGTAGGCAGCTCCAGCGTCTCTAGCTGGACTGTGTCCTTCGGGTTGTGGACATCAATCAGTAGGACATGGAAGACCAAAGAGGCCTGAGGGGGGATCACAGTCCCTGGGGAGGGCATAGAGCTTGAACCATACAAGTGGGGAGCAACCCCAGGCTCAGCAAGGGGCCCCATGCAACAAGACCTATGCTGCGGTTCTCTTATCTTCCTCCTTTGGGAGTTGGGTTTCCCCCAGAGCCATCACCAGCCCACACTGAGCCTTTGTGTGAATCAAAATAAAGAAACCCTGTTTAGGGAGAGAGACAATCTCTGCTTGTCTCCATGGCCAGATGCCCATGTACAGTATACAACCTGAACAATTCTATGTGGAGTCCTGGTTTCTCCTCTTCTGGAGAATTCTCTTGCGTCCCTGCCTGCCCTTACCATAGCCTTTCTCCCCATAGGCCAAGAAGGGAGGAATGATGATCTTCCTTTTCTCTCCAGGACACATGCTCAGCAGTCCCTGGTCCATGCCCTTGATCAGCCAACCAGAGCCCACGTATGTGTCATAAGTGCCGCCCCTACTGTAGCTGCAGAGAATGAGGCAGAGATGGTGTGGCTGGATGTGGGCCAAGCAGGATGGACCTGGGTTCGTCTCTTGATCAGGATTTCCAGCCCTCAGGGCTCCCCTGGAATCCTACCTGCTGTCAAAGGCAGTGCCATCCAGCAGGGTGCCGTTGTAGTGGTAGCGTACAAAGTCGCTGTCCTGCACCATGCGGGGGCAGTGAGGTGGGCGCAGAAGGATGCTCGTCTGCACTGTGTCTGCCTTGTTCCACACATCCAGCAGGACCACATCAAAATAGAGGGTGGCATCTGGGGGAATGAGCCCCGCTGTGGGGAAGCAGCAGCAGCTAAGTTTGCAGCAGCCCCTGCCCCCTCAGCAGAGGCGTGGAGGTCTGAGAGCCCTTCTACCCAACTTCACACCTTCTTCAACAACTCCTACAGTACCTCTGCTCCCAGCTACCAGTTCCTTCCTAGGCAAGCTGTGACTCCACCCTGGGCCCTGTATCCAACAGCTCTCTTCTCAGAGAGGGGAGATGGAAATGCTGGCCACAGCTGACACCATTCAGATGGCATGCACAGCATGACCCCAGCCAAGTCATTCAACACCACTGAGCTTCTGCTTTCTGACTCTGTTCCTGCTTCTCACCCTAGCCCCATGCCTGTGTCCTGGCCTCCTTACCGACACCAATGCTGCCATAGCCCAGATGGGGAGGCACGATGAGGCGGCGGCGCTCGTTGACACACATGCCCATGAGGCCACGATCCATGCCAGTGATGAGGCGACCCACGCCCACCACGATGGCCACCAGGGTGCTGCGGTCATAGCTGGGGGATAGGTAAGGGGATAGGTAAGTGTGCCCACAGCCACAGGATGCCCTTTGTCCACAGTCTCATACATACAAGTGTGCAAACACGCTAGTCACTTCGCTAGGCGTGTTCCAGATACACGTGCTCCTCTCTTCCTCTCCAAGTCCTTCTCCTGGGCCAGCCCTGATGCCCATCTTAGGATAACAAGAGGGAAGTCCCAGAGGAGGTCAGAGGCTTTTACTCCCCTCAAGAAGAGTAGGGTGGAGCAGACAGGCCTGCCTGCTACCTCTATTGCTATTGCCAACAGCATAGCTCAGAAAGCAAAGGGGCATTTATTGAGCACTTACTATATGCTAGATCAAGTGCTTGGCACTTTATATTTGTTACCTTACTGAATTGCCTCCCCATGTTTTTAGTGTTTTGTTGTGGTGGTTGTTGTTGTGCGTGTGGGGGTGGGATGCTGGGGACTAAATCTAGGGCCTCGCATATGCTAGGCAAAGTGCCCTGCCACAAACCTATATCCCGGCCCTGTTTTAATTTTCCTTAAGAGAAAAATTAAGACCTGACGGACTCAGCAACCTGCCTAAGGTCACAGTTCCTGTTTTTGCCACTGACCATCTGTTCTCCAAGGCAGGGCTGGGAAGCAGAACTGGCCAGAGGTGAGTTGTAGAGCAGCCTTCCTAAAAAGAAGGCCTGCACAAACCCTGCCCCAGCTCCTCTCATCCACTGTCTGCAGTAAAGAGGAGGCTTTTTTATTTAAAAAAAAAACAAAAAAACAAAAAAAACCCACTTTTTAATGGGAACTGGAGAGATGGCTCAGGGGTAAAGAGCAGTGACTGCTCTTGCAAAAGACCCAGGTTCGATTCCCAGCACCCACATGGCAGCTTTGAACGGTCCTTACCTCCAGTTCCAGGGGAATCTGACGAAGCCCTCTTCTGACCTCTGTGGCATTGCACAACATGGGTGCACTCACATACATGCAGGCAATACACTCATACATATAAAATAAAAATAATAAATAAAATATTTAAAAAAAATTTTTAATGGGAGCTGCAGAGATTGTTCAGCAGTTAAGAGCACTGGTCCACTTGCAGAGAACCTGGGTTCAATGCACCCATATGGCAGCTAACACCATCTGTAACTCCAGTTCCAGGAGATCCAGTGCCCTCTTCTGACCTCTGCAGGAATTGCACAACATGGTATACTTACATGCAGGCAATACACTCAAACACATAACATTAAAAATATATATTTTATTTTTTAAAACTTTAAAAATGGCTGGGCCTGGTGGCACATGCCTTTAATCCCAGCACTCGGGAGGCAGAGGCAGGAGGAGGTCTGTGAGTTCGAGGCCAGCCTAGTCTACGAGTTCTAGGCCAGCTGGGGCTACAGGGAGACCCTGTCTCAAAAAGACCAAAAAACAAACAAAACTTTTAAAAAATATTTGTGTTTATGTCTGTATGAATGCATGCACATGTATGTGTGCATCTGAGTGCACATGCAGAGGTCAGAAAAGGACACTGGGTGTCCTTCTTGGTCTCTATGTGCCTATTCTTTTGAGTTAGGCTCTTTCTCTGATGTGGGTGTGTATAGGATGACCAGCTTCTTATATGCTTGTTGGGATCCAAACTCTGGTCTTCATGATTGCACAGCAAGAGACTGTAACCCCTGAACCATCTCGCTAGCCCCTCTTTTTTCTTTTTTTCTGAGACAGGGTCTCACTATGTAGACCAGGCTAGCCTCAAAGTCACAGAGATCCACCTGCCTCTGCCTCCCGAGTACTTGGATTAAAGGTGTGCCTGCATTGTTCTTTTTTGATAGGGTTTCATGTATCCCAGGAAGGCCTCAAACTCCCTATATAGCCAAGAATGATCTTGAACTTCTGATCTTCCAGGCTACTGGAAGAACTAGGATTACATGTGTGGTATGTATCACCTCTTGTAGTTTATGTGGTGCTGGGAACCAAACCCAGGACTTTGTGCATGCTAAGTACTCAACACTTAGAAACCAGATCTTGGCCAGGCTTGAGAGCTGCCCCCAATCACTGCACCACTGTGGAAGCTGTCACTCACCTTTCTCACTTGTATGTCAGCCTGGGATGTAGGTGCCTTTCCTATGCCCAAGTTTCAGACAAAGAGTGAAGATTAAAGAGACAAAATTCCCGGGCTGGAGGGATGGCTCAGCGGTTAAGAACACTGGTTATTCTTGCAAAAGACTCAGGTTTGAATCCCAGCACCCACATGGCAGCTTACAACTGTCCATAACTCCAGTCCCAGGGGATCCGACAGCCTCTTCTGACCTCCGAGGGCACTGTAGGACATGGGCGCACTTACCTACATGCAGGCAATACACACATACACATAAAATTTTAAAAAAAATAAATAAATTTTTAAAAAAGAAAGAAAATTCCTCCTCTTTTGTCATAGCCTGGATTTGAACCCAGGGTCTTACACTATGGTGATGGTATTCTAGTTCAATATACAGTCTGTCTCCAAAGTCATGACCACTAATTGCCTGTGGGCTGAGTTGTGTGTTTCAGAGAAGAAAACGTTTGAAGGGTGACTCCCTGGTATAGAGGTTTGAGTGTGATAAAGCCTGAAGTTTACCCCACAGCCTGGCAGGAGGCTGGTACATAGCTCTACCTTGCCAACCATCAAGGGGGATTTACCAAGAGCCTGAGTCAGACTAGAAGCCCATCTATCAAGCCAAAGTGGACAAGACAGGAGGCCGTGCTGGTTGTTAGAGCTAAAGTAGAGGAGCTGGGAGCTCCAGGAGCCCTGGAGGAGGCAGAAAAACCCTTCCAGGCGCCCAGGGTGGCATGTCAGACCTAGTGACACGTGGATAGCTGGTCAAAGCAGCAGCTATGGCCTACTTCTAAATTATAATGCCCATTCTGCTTAAGGCTTGCCCTGGCTGCTCTAAGCCCCCAGGCCCTTAAGGAAAAAAAAAAAAAAAAAAAAAAAGTTAATTCTCTTTTAACTACAAAGGCACAGAAAACTCTGGCATAGAACCAGACAGGGAGCCAGGGCGTGTGTTAAGGTAGGTGGTCCCAGGCTGACTGTCCATCCAGTCATCCCAGGTTTCACATGTAGTAGTCCCCTTCCCCACAACACTGTGTACCAGGGTACACCCATGTCCTTAAATAAGGCACTGGTGGATAAATGGAGAACTTCGCCTGATTTATCAACTATTCTGGGAGCTGGGAGCTGGTGTGGGGCCTTTCGAGAGAGTTGAAGGTGTGGAGTTGAGGGTGGAAGACATCTTTGAGAGCATTCGAGCCCCCCCCCACCCCGGGTGTCGCTTGGGGTTAGGAATTATGGAATGAATACAAGGATGCAGAGCTTAAAAGGGAGCAATATGTCCTGGAAGCTCAGGAAAGGGGTGGTGAGTCTGGGGGTGCCCAACCCCTTACCTCGAATCGAACCTTTTCCCATCCTCAAAAGTGCCATTGTAGTGGTACCGCACAAAGTCCCCCATCTGCACTTCTCGGGGACAGGCCCTGGGGATGTGGTACCTCTCAATGACCACATCTTCCAAGGGGGCTCCAGCCGGGCTGGAACGGCCCAGCCCCCTCTCCAAGGCCTGCAGCAGGAACAGCAGCAGCAACGGCAGCAGGGGGAACCGGCAGAGGGTGTGGCTGGGGGACCCTGGAGCGAACATGGTGCCCGGAGCGAGGACGCTGGCGGTGAGGGAGAACGCCAGCAGCCAACCTCCTTCCCCCTCCTCCCGGAGCAGACTCCCCCCCTTCCTGTCCTCTTTCCCCACCCAGCCCTGGCGGGTCCACGTGGAATGGGGGCTGGGGAGACTGAGCTGGCCGGGGCGGGGTGATGTTTGTGGAATAGGAGGAGGGGGCCATGCTGAGAGTTTATGGAGTCCCAGGAATTGGCCACAAAGATCTCAGTGTCCCCCCCACCCTCCCAACACACACCCCGGGTCCCTCCGGGGCTGAGACCCGGGGCCTGGCCGGGAAGAAGGTTCGGGAAAGATGAGAAGCTTGAGTGAACTTCCAAAAAGAAAAAGTCTTTTTTCCAGAGTCCCTGGGTCCTAAAGCCGGGCGGAGGCATCCCTTGCTTCTTTCCCAGGCACCCCAAATCTAGGCCCCTCTGGCCGATGATGAGGGGGGTAACCTGAGGGATATTTCAGCGCTACCCCACTCGAGCTCTCCTTCTGCGGGGGGGACGTCTGCGGGGGAGGTGATGTTTATGTGTGGGGGCGGGACTCTAGGTGAAAGGCAGCTTTGTCCTGCAAAAGCCAGGTTGCAAGGAAAACTTTGGGGACACCGGGATCGAGGTTGGTGTTGTCTATGCCAGGTGTACGGATAAAGCCAAGTGCGCGTCTCCCGACGGCGGAGAGGGTGCAAAGGGGGCGCTGGGAGAAAGGACCAGATTCTGGGGCTGCATTAAGGGGCTTTCTAGGCGTGAAGAGTAGCCCCACCCGCCCCCGTGGGCCGAGAGGAAGACTCCCAGTGCAGAAAGTCGGCCCACGTAGCGGACTGGGGCATCATCTGGCCAGCTGATCGAGGGGAGACCCAGCCACCCCACCCCCTCCTCTCCGGGTGCCCGGCGCTAAGACCCAGCAGGCGCGCCGTGGGCCCTGGCCGTCCCTCCGCCTGCCCGGCAGGGCCGTGTCTGCTCCGGGAGCCTCGGGGCAGTCGGCGGGGCATGGCTCCCGCGGCGTGGGGGCTGCTGTGGCTGCTGCTGGGCAGCGCGGGCGCGCAGTACGAGAAGTACAGCTTCCGGGGCTTCCCCCCCGAGGACCTGATGCCCCTGGCCGCGGCCTATGGCCACGCGCTGGAGAAGTACGAGGGCGAGAGCTGGCGCGAGAGCGCGCGCTACCTGGAGGCGGCGCTGCGGCTGCACCGGCTGCTGCGGGACAGCGAGGCCTTCTGCCACGCCAACTGCAGCGGCCCGGCCACCTCGCAGCCCGCGCTGGGCCCCGACGGCCACGGCCACGACGGCGGCGAAGACTGGGCACGCGAGCTGCGGCTCTTCGGCCACGTCCTGGAGCGCGCCGCCTGCCTGCGACGCTGCAAGCGGACGCTGCCCGCCTTCCAGGTCCCCTACCCGCCGCGCCAGCTGCTGCGCGACTTCCAGAGCCGCCTGCCCTACCAGTACTTGCACTATGCACAGTTCAAGGTGGGCGTCGCCCGGGCCCGGCGTCCAGTGTCCCCAGAGCTCGCGGCCCACGGGGCATCCAAGGCCCCACTGACCCGCTCCCCACGCCCCTCCACCAGGCGAACCGGCTGGAGAAGGCGGTGGCGGCGGCCTACACCTTCCTGCAGAGGAACCCGAAGCACCAGCTGACTGCCAAGTATCTCGGCTACTACCGGGGGATGCTGGACATCGGGGATGAGTCCCTCACGGACCTGGAGGCTCAGCCCTACGAGGTTGGGGGAGAGCGAGGGAGGGCTGGCCCTGATGTGCGCTCCTAGTACCCTCCCCTAAACTTGACATACTTAAGGAGCCATCGGGGTTCCCCTGTTTCCCCCCTGCCATGCTTACCCACAGGCCGTATTCCTCCGGGCTGTGAAGCTATACAACAGCGGAGACTTCCGCAGCAGCACAGAGGACATGGAGCGGGCCCTGGCCGAATACCTAGCAGTCTTTGCTCGGTGTCTGGCTGGCTGTGAGGGGGCCCACGAGCAGGTGGACTTCAAGGACTTCTACCCAGCCATAGCAGGTATCTCCACTCAGACCCCTGAGGGCATAGCTCACCCACATGACCTGTAACATGTATGGTGCCTCTACAAGGTGTTTGGGAGATACACAGGAGTTAGAAGTTTTTTCCCTCAGTTCCCAAGGAGCCTTCTGTCAGCTGATAGAGATGCTGGGTACACGGGGTCTGGGCATCATGAAGAGGCAGGGACACTCCAGAAGGGTCTGGAAAGCTTGGGGGTCACAGACTTTCCAGGCTAAGAGCAATGCAGATTCAAAAAGATGCTATAGCTGGGTTTGGTGGCTCACACCTGTAATCCCAACACCTGGGAAACTGAGCTAGGAGGATTGCTGAGTTTAAGGCTAGCCTGAGGGCCTACATAGTTAGTTCCAGCTTGGGCTACAGTGTGAGACCCTGTTTCAAAAACAAAATCAAAAGATGCTGAGTTGATACTTGTTACCTCTGTGTAGAAAGTATTTGGGGGAGAAATCACAGCTGGTCTCTGGACCCCTAACCCTAGGGTCCCTCAAAGGGTTTGAAGACAAGGAAGAAAGGGCTGTCCTTAGCCTCTCTGTCTGGGCCCTGTCTCACCTCAAAGCCCTCCTGTTATTTTCCCAGAACTCTTTCTGATGTTGGATGGGGGGTTGAGCTGGGAATAAAAAGTACTTCCCAGCCCAAATCACATTGTGTGTGCCATGCACTTCACACACGTTAAGAGTAATGCAATAATCTCAACAAGGCGGTACTTTCTGGACGGGAAGCAGGTTCCATAGGCAGAGCCGGGCTTTGGTCTTCACCAGGGTAACGGGGTTAGCACACCACCAGCCCCTCACTGTCATTTCCTGTCCAGATCTCTTTGCAGAGTCCCTGCAGTGCAAGGTGGACTGTGAGGCCAGTCTCACCCCCAACGTAGGTGGCTACTTTGTCGATAAGTTCATGGCCACCATGTATCACTACCTGCAATTTGCCTACTATAAATGTAAGCTTCCTGAGTGGGTTGGGTGGTGCTGGTGGGGATAAGGGGTATTGGAAAGGACAGACTGGGGCCTCCTGGAGTCATGGGGAGCTGTCCTCAGATTGAAGACCCTGGGGAAGGGCAGGAAAGGCTGGGCTAGTGGGGACGTGGGAAGAAACTCAGGGGGTCTAGAGCAGGTGAGAAGTCTTAGTGAAGAATTAGAGGATCTCTCAGCCTATAGACTAGGTCAGCACCATGCCATTGACATTCCTGGACACATTCTTCAGATTAAACCGAAGCTCCTAGAGGGCAAGGGATTATTAATTAGCCTTGTAACAGGAACCTGGGACTCTCCTCATGTAGAGGTCCTGCCATCGGCTGGCATTGGGGTACAGTCCAGGTTTCCTATACCCCAGGAATGCCAGGCTTCAGGGGCTAGAGCTGTGTGTGGAAGGGCTGAGGCCCAGGGACCAGGAGACCATGGACCTGAGGACCTCTAATTCTCCCACACTGTCAGTCTTCAGCAATACCAGCCAATGCAGTTTATCTACTCCCTCCACCCCCGCCTCCCATCTCTCGTCTATAAAATGCAGTGGTAATGAATGAGGCAGTGGTGAGTCACGTAGGGTACACCCAGGGCCTGCTAAATTGCATTCTTTCGGGTGGGGTGAGGAGCCAGTAGGCATTCTGGGAAGCAGCTAGGAACAGGGGTATCAGACTGAGTTAGGAAGTGGGCATGGAGTGGGCTGAGTGGGCTGCCTTTAAAGGGAAACTTCAGGGCTACCCTTCTCTAACGTGTGTCCAGTGAACGATGTGCGCCAGGCTGCCCGAAGCGCTGCTAGCTACATGCTCTTCGACCCCAAGGACAGTGTCATGCAGCAGAACCTGGTGTATTACCGATTCCATCGGGCTCGCTGGGGCCTTGAAGAGGAGGACTTCCAGCCCCGGGAGGTGGGCACTGCCTTTGGGAGCATTTGCTACTTGTGCAGTTTTGTGGCTTGGTGAAAAAAAAAAAAAAAAGGAAAGAAAAAGAAAAGAAAACTCCTGGCTTCTTTGGAAGGCAGAAAAGGAAAGCAAGAGAACTATTATGGGCTGTGGTTAGAGTCCAGGCTTGAGCGACCACACTTGCCTGCTTCCCCACCTCACTGTGGCCCTCTGAGCTTCCCCAGGGAACTGCTAGCCTGAACCAATGAGAAAACCTCTGTGGGTGTAGGGCAAGGCTGGAAAACATGGGCCCCATAGTGCCACACCTGCTTTCCTTGCCCATGGCAGACATTACTAAAGGACTGAAGCACTCTTCCTCCCTGAACCCTCAGAATCCTTAATCCAGTGTTCCAGGTATCTAGGATTATTCTGTGAGCTGATATGTTTTCCTAGATTCCTGAGCTGGAAAAGGACCAGTGGGTTGGGATCTTAGGAACCCTGTCTCCCTGCCATCTGGTAGCGGGGTCCAGTTCACCCCCATCCTTCCTTCCCTTCTCCCAGGAGGCCATGCTTTACCACAACCAGACCTCTGAGCTTCGGGAGTTGCTGGAGTTCACACACATGTACCTGCAGTCAGATGATGAGGTAAGTGGCTCCCAGTGAGAGGCTGGCCATGACTGGGACACTTTGGGCCCTTTCCTGAGGCAACCATGTGAGGCAGCCCCAGCTGTTGGCAAACAAGAGTTTCCTGTCTCTCATCTGTACCTTCCCCCTCTCCCGACCTCAGTGTTCCTGTGACCCTTTCTCTGTCCTAGGCCTGTGCCTGCTGGTCCCAGCTCAGATGGTGGCTCTCCAGGGAGCCCTTGCTGCATGTCCTGGCTTCTCCTGGGCTTGCACTGCCAGCACTGACCTTCCTCCTGCCTGGCCATCTGGTCTGGGACATGGAGTTACTTGTAATCCTCATCCATTTTGCCCTGGCCAGCTGGCCTCCTCCACAACCACACTCCAGGATAGGAGACTGAATTATTTTCAGCTTTGCTATAGTGCCTGGCATAATGCTTAGGAACTAAGTTTGAAATAAGCCAGTTGCTGAATGACTGAATGAATGCAGAATGCTGGGAAGGGCCATAGTGTACATCAGAGTGTCGTTTTTGAGACAGGGTCTCCCAGTAGCTGGCCTGGAACTCGATATGTAGACCAGGCTGGCCTTGAACTCATAGAGATTCGCGCGCCTCTGCCTCCCGAGTGCTGGGACTAAAGGCGTGTGATCCCACACCCAGCATGTTGTTATTTTTTGTTGTTTTGGTTTTTTGAGACAGGGTCTTATTATGTAGCTCTGGCTGACCTGGAACTCACAGAGATCTACCTGCCTCTGCTTCCCGAGTGCTGGGATCAAAAGCGTGTACCACCATGCCCAGCTGTACACTAGTTCTGAATGAGGGTTCAGTGGTCTGAATTCCTTGAAGGGCTGCTGTTCAGGCTTGTTTATGCATCTTCCCTTCGTGCATATGCTGTATCCCCAACTCAGTGAACTCAGAGATAGTATTTGCACTGTCACACCTTGCCTAGGTGCTGGTCATATCCAGCTCCATCACTGGGCAGCTGAGTGGCCTCCAGGACAGTCTTAGGTAACGTCTCATACTTCTGCTTCCTTGTCCATTGAATGAGGAAAATAATGCCCTTTGCCTTTTGCTGAGATAAAGTGTACAAAGCATGGAGTATACCACTGGTACACATTAGGTGCTCAGGACACTGGCAGCAGTTTTGATGGCTGTTACCTACCGCTACTGTTTGCCAGACTCCAGGCTTGGGGCTGCGGTAAGCAGATGAGAGGCGCGGTCTGTCTCCCAGGGATCTCATGTGGGAGGCCCGTACTCTAGCTGCAGAGGTCGGCATGGGTGACAGTAGAGTGGAAGGCTCCCAGCCCAGCCAGGGTGATACTCAAGGGCCTCAGCTTGGAGTGGCTGTGTGGCTTTGGCGGACTCTACAAGCCCTCCCAGGTTAGGGGAACAAAGGCATTCCTGGCAGGGTAGCAGTTTGAGCAGACAAAAATGCACAGACCAGCAGTGTTCTCATCGGGTGTGATGATGAAGGTGGGGCTCAGGTGCCTGTGGTGCTGATGCCAGCACCCCGCCTCTGCTGGTGGAGTCCCAGGTGTCACTTAAGGAAGCAGTTTCAGAATGAGACAAACCCTCACATTGCCCTCATGGTAGATGCTGACACTGACTGTGTTCCTGGGGGTGCTCAGGCCTTCCTACCCACTTAGCAAAACACTACCAGGAAACTGCTAGAGTGGGTGGGGCTGAAAGATGGGGCCAGAGGTCTTCTAATGCAAAGGGAGCCCATCTAGATGTGGGCCCAACTATGACTCATCTCCCCCAACCCTGGACTGCTCTAGATGGAACTGGAGGAGACAGAAGCACCCCTGGAGCCCGAGGAACCCCTGTCTGATGCTGAATTTGAGGGGGAGGGTGACTACGAGGAAGGCCTCTATGCAGACTGGTGGCAGGAACCAGATGCCAAGGGTGACGAGGCTGAGGCTGGTCAGTAATGGGTCATGATGAAGGGATTGGGACACAATGTGGGATGAACACCTGGAGCAAAGAGTGTCTCCGTGGGCTAAGGTGCCAGTAGTATGTGGGTGGGGGCTGGGACCCCAGGTTTAAGGGCTTCCAGCCTCCTGTTCAGGCAGTGCTCAAACACCTGCTGGAATGGCAGAACTAACCACTTGCTTTCTCCTTCCTTTTCAGAGCCAGAACCTGAACTGGCGTGAGAAAGGGTTCACTGAACAACCCTTGAGCTCAGGGTGCAGACCAGAAGCAAGAACTATTTATTAAAAACTTAAAATGGACATAGCTGGCTCAGACCCTGCCCTGCCTCTTCTGTGTCCTGGGTCCATAGGGTGGTGACCAAGCTGCTGACTGGCAAGTGAGCTGTTGAGGGGCTCTCCTCCCTGTTGCTCTACCAAGATGGACAGTCTCTTGAAGAAGTTACCAGCTAGAATCCCAGCCTGAGCTGCAGAGGGCCAGTGGGGTCATAAAGAACACTAGGCCTGGAGTTCTGGCACTCAATAAAGGCCAAAGTGGGTGCTCAATAAAACGTGTGTTGAGTTGCCACACCTGGGCCCGTCTCCCAAGGTTGAGAGCTGTATGGGTGCGGGTCCTAGCTTCCAGCCCTCCTCCCCTCCCCTCATCTGTTTATAAAGCAAGCTGACCAACCATGTGACCCTGGAAAGTCTTCTACACCCCTGAGTTCTGAGAGCTGGAGATCCCTGTGAGCAGTGTGCCATCTTAGATCTGCCACCAGAGGGCGTGAAGACACAGTATTCCCTGTAGCCTTGGGAAGGTTTGTGGTTTCAAATTCCTAAGTGGAGATAATTGTATTTTCCTAGTTCCGGTCATTCTTTGGGCTTGTGGCTCTGCAATGAGGAGACCAAAGGACCTTTGTCTCCATTGTTTTTCTTTCTTGGAATTTCCCTAGAGTTAAGTGTACCCAGTCCTGCGCCTGGCCATTCCCTATTCAGAGCTGGCTGGAGCCCCAGTTCAATAGCCAGAGGAACCCTAGGGCTGTAATTTGATGACATGGGCGTTCTTGAAGCACAGTGGGATAGCCAGGGTCCTCTTGGCCAATTTTTGCATTGTCTGGGAGGGGGCAGGACTCTGGAAATGTGGGGGCAAAGATGGTGCCCCCAGTATCCCTGCTCCCATTACCACTCTGTAGCCAGGGAGGTGGGGGTAAAATGAACCCATTCAGTAGGAGAGCAGGGGTCAAGACAACCCAGGTGACAGTTCTGTCTCACTGCCAGGCTCCTAGAGGGCAGAGGCCTCTCTAATGGAGGGTGTGTGAAGTTGACCAGGGAAGGGCAGTCACATTGCCACACCCCTCTCCCCAGGTGCTAGATGACTGGCTCAGGACACACCCACTTCTGTGCCCTAGAGGACTGCTGCAGGCTCTACCCCTTCCCAAGGCTCTGGTCCAAGTCTCTTGGTGTCTGGAGGGAGGACTGGGTCCAGGCTAGGGAACTTCTTTCCTCCCTCCTCCCTTAGCCTCCCTCCCTGCCATAGAAGGGTTTGCTGTGTAATGTTCCCTGACAGTTCCCAGGTACTAGGGTAGCCTGGCCCACCCTGTCCCTCACAGGCTGTTGTGTTGTCAGCGTCCAGTAGCCCACCCCTGCTCCAGGGAGGGGCTGTCCTCCAGGACTGGCACCACACAGTGTGGGGAGCAGGATGTGCCTGAGCGTGTCTGCACAGATGTGTGCTGCTGTGAGCACTAGCTCTGGAATCTGGGCAGTTGGGTGTGGGTCTGAAAGTGCCTGTGGGTCAGAGTACAAAGATCGTGTGTGTGTGTGTGTGTGTGTGTGTGTGTGTGTGTGTGTGTTCCTATGTGCAGATGTCTGAGGACTCTGTGGCAGTTGTGAATCAATGACAACCATGAACCTGTGGTGTCCACATGTCTGAATGTGTGTGTGTCCATATATGAGTGCATACCTGAATGTGGAGGACTTCATTCATTTACATATTCACTGAGTACCTGTTATGTACCAGGCCTGCTGCAGGTGCTGGGCATATGATCATGAGCAAAACAGGCCAATCACCCCGCCCTCACAGAGCTTGTGTTCCACTGGAGACAGGTAGTGAACAATAGATGTTATATAAATTGCTAGTATCTCAGCACTCAGGAGGCAGGGGGAGGAGGCTCCTCATAAGTTCCAGGCCAGCCTAATCTATATAAAAAGCCTATATAGCAAACGTCAGGCCAGCCAGGGCTACATAGGGCATAGGGAGACCCTGTCTCAAAAAAGGGGGGGGGCTTGGTGGGGTGGCACATACCTTTAATCCCAGGCAGAAGCAGACAGATTTCTGTGAGTTTGAGACCAACTTGGTCTACATAGTGAGTTCCAGGTCATATGGGGCTACAGGGAGTCCCCCTCTTAAAAAAGCAAAACAGTTATGCTAGATTTTTCAGATGAGAAACAGCTGCATAAGAGGCATCCAGAGCGCTGAAGGGTTTAAGGATGGCTGTATGTCTGAATGCGCAAATCCAAGTGTGCTGATGTGAGTGCACGTGTTTATCCAGGGAACCCCTTCCAGGCTTTCTGTCAGTCCAGCATGCCTCAGTTCCCCTTTCCCAGGGAGCTACTGGCCCCTCCCACCTCTTCCTGATGCCAGCCTCTCCCTTGCCCAGTCAGCTAGCTCCCCAAACCGGTGAGACAGAGTCCCAGCCAGTCTCCGCTTGGGCCTTCCAGCCCAGCCTCACAGCCCCACCCAGCCCAGATGCTCTCACCTGTCCTCACCCTTCCCACAGGACCCCACCAGCTCCTCTTCAGTTCTGGCTAGTATGATGGGTGGAGGGGTAGGGATGGGTAAAACACACTGGGATGTGACCTCACAGTCCAAACCCAGATATGTCGCAGAAGTGCCCTGGATCCAGAAAGTCCCCATCCAAATGAAAGCATATTTTTACAACTCAGAGTGCTTCCCAAATGCAAGGCATTCAACCATTGTCAAATACTGTACTCTCTGCTCCAGGTGTGTCTAAGGAATGAGAGGCAGCTTGTCCTAGGTTCCTTGGGGTGGCAGGTGTGGTTGTTGAGCTGGTGTTGGAGTTTTTCTCCCCAAATCAATGCTGCTCAGAGGGAGGGAGGGAGTGAAAGGGTGGCCTGGGGCGTGGAGTTGACCTTGTCCCTTTGGACTCTCAGCTGGGGCCAAAGGAGAAGTGGGGAAGAACAATAGATGAAGCCCCTGTGTACAGCCTGCAAGGAGTTTGAAAAGGAAGAGTGAGGAAGGGAAGAGGGGGAGAAAAGGGGGCAAAAGAGACAGGGAGGTAGGGAGGGGCCATTGTCAGGTCCGTGGGATAGAAGTCTCATGTTGGAAGACCTGGGACAGAGTTGTTGGGGTCACAGGATAGTAACTTCCTAAATCCTGAGAGTGTTGGTCAGGGGAGGTAAGAGAGTCCCATGGTACCCCAAATTCTAGTAAACGCCAATGGAAGAAATTCCCTTCTCAGCTTGAAAAAGCACTTATATAAAGCATATCTAATTTATTTTTTTTTTTTTTTTTTTTTTTTTTTTTTTTTTTTTTTTAGTTTTTTGGGGACAGAGTCTTACTACATAACCCTGGCTGGCCTGGAACTTACTATATAGACTAGGCTGGCCTTTACCCGCCCTGCCCCCTCCACCCAACTAGACACCACACCCAACTAGATTATTTTATTGTATGTAATGTGTTTGCTTGAATATATGCATGTGCACCACGTGTGCCTGATGCCCAGAAGAGGGCATTGGGTCCCCTGGGACTGGAGTTACAATAGCTATGAGCCACTAAATAGATGTTGGGAGCTGAACCCTGTTTCTCTTCAAGAGCATCAAGTGCTCTTAACTGCTGAGCCTTCTCTCTAGCTCCTCCCCTTTTAAAACTCAGTCAAATTTAGCAGTGGGGGTTGTTGACAACTTTCATGACATTAATGTTAGTAGTGACAACCCATTACCATGGGTCCAGCCTTGAAAAGAATTCTGAAAGTCATTCTCTGATGTTGCTTGTCCTCTGAGGGAATAGGGTCTCCCCTGGGAACAAAAAGGGGACCCCTTCCCTATGTCAGATGGTTGTGTCCAGCTGGTTCTAAAGTCAATACCTTAACCTGACTGGGGGAGACTTGGCAACAACAGGACCTTGTTCCTCTAATCTTCCACCTTCCTCCAGGCCTTCTTTTGTAGCATCTCTCCCAGGGCTTCCCTGGCAGATAGCCCTGATTTCATGGATGGGAAACTGAGACCCCAATAGTCTATGTTAGACTCTAAGACTGGTGCCTACTCTGAGCTGAGCTGAAACACAGTTCTGACTGACTCCGTTCATGATCACGTTCCAGGAAGACTGGGAATCAGATGAAAGTGTGCTGGGGGCCACAGCAAGCAACCTCAGTGGAAACCCTAGATCGGACCTGTGGACCATCACCCCGTAATCACCACCCGCTTGGGCCCCAGCTGGCGCCAGTGTGCTTGGATACCATCTCTTTTGTCCCCTGAAACAGCCCTTGGGATGAGAGCACCTGTTCTGCAAATGACTCGGGTGGGGAAACTGAGGAGAGGGCGGAGGATGTGCTTGTTTGCCCTCCCCACATCGACATGCTTGACCTCTTGACTACATGGAAGAACTCACTCTTATGATCAAAGTGGAGGCCAAGAAAAGACATTTTCCACTCTGGGTCATTCTCGTCTTCCGAAAGATGAAGCTCAGTTGGAAGAGTGCTTGCCTAACATCCATAAGGCCCCAGGTTCTCTCCTCAGTACCACGTAAACCGGGTGTGGTAGTACATACCTATAATCCCAGCACTTGAGAGCTGGAGGCAGGAGAATCAAGAGTTCAAGGTTATCTGTTACTGCACAGCAAATCTGAGGCCAACCTAGACTGTATGAAACTGTCTGAAAAAAAAGGAGTATGATGTTATGATGTCATGTTCCCTGGGTCAAGACAGAGGGGGCCAGGCCTGATTCCCTCTTTTTACCCTTGGCCACTTGGCTAAAGTCTGTTTTGTGTTGCTGGAAGAGGAGGCTGAGAAAGGACCTGGTTCAAGCCAGTCCAAATGGGAAGTCTGGCTATTCTCCCCTGCCTGGCGCGTGTTGGGAGTAGGGGTTTATGTGAGGGCCTCACAGTCACAGAGAACCTCCCATTACATTTTTTTGTTATCTTGGAATGAGATTTTACACTCCGTCCTAGACATAGTCACAGCCCTGGCCTGGAAGTCAGAAAATGCTTGTTGTATTACTTGAACCTCTAGCACAGTTATTCTGATATCGTTGCTTTGTTTATTTATTTTTAATACATTGGTGTCCTCAACAATGGAAATGTCTCTGGTGCTGGAGCCCCTGCCCTTGACCTCACACACACTCCTATCCAGCTGGCTTCTCTCCATCACCCTTCCTCGCCCCTCCCCTTCACTACTTCCAGGTTCTCTGTTGGGGTCATAAATTACCCATGAGCAGTACGTTGGCTGCTGCTTCAACTGGAGCTGAAGTGCTGATGAAATATTTAAGGATCTCAATTCTCAGATTCCCTGGGGGCCAAAGGAGGAATCTGGCCCAAGACTCCAAGTCCTGCCCCAGTTCCTACTGAGTCGGGGCAGGGCAC